GTTTTACGGGATTCACCTCCCAGTCAAGCTGTACGATTCAATATATTTTATGCATGAAAGACACCTTGTTCGCAACTCAGTAGCTCTCATTCTCTACCAAGGCATTTATCATCATACACTATGTTAGAGAGCCACATGCTACTACTTGGCTTCTCCATCGGTCGGTGACTATCTGTGAATAAGGACCGGGTGTTTGCCCACTAAAAAAGCGACCGCATAAGAACTGCGAGCAGCAACAACAATACCGGAGAATGTGGTGGACTTTTGCATGGTAAGAGTTGTTTCTATAAAACATGCTACTGTGAATCATCAGTCAACAGAGTTGTCTGCCTTTGCCCGGCTCCATCCACTCGGCAAGGCTTTTCAAGAGAGGTAAATGAACCAAACTATATGTCACCGGCTTATGTGNCTTATGTGGGAAGTATCCCTGTTGTTTTGAGGGTTGCAATTGGATGTGCAAAGGTCGAAGGGAAACCTCAGCTGATAGCACTAACCATATATACTGGTGTTTTTATCTTCTCGAGGGACGCAGTGATCAATCGAAAGCTGCCTTGAGGTATACCAAAAGGAAGGTGAGTGGGTGGTTGCTTGGTGGTGGTGGTGGGATTCGAATGGATGCCCTCAGCGCCACTAGAGTGATGGGCCTTATTGCTCGATTACCACCGCTAACCAATACTGAAAAGACTGTTTGTAACCTCCCTTTCAAAAATCTTTATGGATTACAATGGGTCATGGAATCATTTCATCCTCGGGCCGGACATAATCTGGTAAAAAAGAGAAAGACATCTGACAACTATCGTCTTTCTGCGGAAACTGTGACCATCAAAAGACTGAACCGGGCATTTTGTACGCGGGAGGTAGTATTGATCGATTTAGCCTTGACCGCCCTTCTCCTCTAAAGATATATCACCTTCCACAGGTAGATTGTTAATTACTTACACGTTTATCGATTATTATTAGAACATGAAAACGTATCGTATAGTCCGTATTGCATTATCGTTTGTATTCTAAGTCAACCTCCTTCCCTTTCTTTGTTTCATCTGTTGTGCACAAACAAGCTCACTTATTCGAGTCATAAGTTATTCTAAGTGCCCGAAATGGAAAGGAAATGTCTTTACATAAGATATCGGTCACCATACTGTTTGTCTAGTGAAACTTCTAAAATGTAACCACTGTTCCAAAGCTCGAATACCGGTTAGGACGTTATGGTTATATTAGGTGGTTCGACTTCAAAGGGACCACAATAGTACAACATACGGTTTTCTTCTTGTTCACAATTCTGTTCTTTTCCAACCGGTGACAACTGACGAGCACATACACACTTCTGGAGACAAAGCACGTTTTCCTGCGACTCACACAGAATACGTCACGTGCTTTTTAGTCACCTCTGACAATGATTATAATTGGCTCTTTCTATTTTCAGTATGAATTGAGCAGGTTTTGTGTGATTTTCACATTCCGATTCGCTCAAAAACGTATATTAGTGTCTTGATGTCAATCACATACACACACTGAGCTTCCTTGACATGTATATATTCGCACGCTTGTAGAAACAGAAATGCACAGCAAACCAGCATCACGATAACTCTTCATCACTGTAATCTCAGGATGGATCAATAACCTGAGTCACGTGACCTTTGCTTCTAAACAATGTGAAGATCCAGGTAAAACAGAGCAACGATGCGCGTCTTGCTGATAAACATCCCCGACCTTTCGTAACAAATGACTAAACAATGCGCTGATAATATTGTTTTTCGACTTGTTGCAGGAGATTTCAATCAGAAATTTTGTTCTCAATATCACAGCCTCGCAAAATAAGCACGCGGTGATCTTATTACGGTGAAACTTGGTTCCTTCATATTGTATTTCATGGCAGCATTTTGCTTAAAACTGCCTGTAGACACTTTCTTTCTAATAGATACTACTCATTCATATGAGGTTTAGGATGGAAAAATGTTCACAACCAGTCATGCTCTCAACCAATCCAACAGAATAGTCGAGACATTTCACTGTACCGCTCAAAGTTGTCCTAACAAGAAACTGTGAGTTCGGCCGTCGCGCCTTTGGCAATGATTCGGTAGAAAATTCCTTATCACATAGTACTGAGATAAGTAGGCTTCGCTGGTTAGGACACGTACTGCAAATGCCTAGTTGTTGTCTACCGCGCAGTATCTTCTTTGCAGTTGCCGCTCCAGGTTGGAGGAAACCCACCTGGAGGTCAACAGATAACGTGGAAACGAGGCCTGAAGATGTGCACAGAGGTTACAGTTCAAAAGACTANAAAAGACTAAAACTGGTTGGTTTGAGACACTGAAGAATATGACAACTAACCGATAAAAGTGGTGTTCTTGTTGTCATTCCTTATCACGCCAGACTGCTTGAAAAGGCATGTATGCACAGTTAGGTTGTATACTCTGTATGTTGACCACAGAGATGCCACCCNCCCTTCAATTAGGCCCAAACTCTATCTATCTTGTACTGGTTCACTTACTTTTGTGCAAAATATGAGCTTGGCAGCGATCGGCGAAGTTCACTTCTCACCTTACGACGACGACGATGATGATGAACCATGTTTAATCCGATTTGCCTTTTTGTTTTATTTTCAAACGCTTGACGAACCCCCCCTCCCCCCGGGGTGTTGGTTTCTCAACTGGTTGACTTACCTTATTACGAAGCTGGTCATCAATAATGAGATTCGTCTGTAAGTTACCGCGGCCTGATCTGTCCTGCCTTAAATGGGACAAGCCCAGCGATAAAACCGAGGGAATTTGAGTTGTTGTTCCTCTGAAGCATCTAACAAATTCCATGTTTCATTGTAAGTTTACATTTTGCTGCGCTCAAATTTATGGAGGGATTTTTCTGTTTTGTTTTTTTCAGTTCCCGTAGATAGTCCGTCATCGGTGCCGTTGTATGACAACCGTATGACGTTAATCATCGATTCCTAGACTTTCTAAGCCCATTCAGCGCATATGGTGAACTGACCGTACTCTCAGTACCGTGTGTCACTTTTCAAGGTGAATCTACTTGACTAAAATAAGTCAAAGCAATTGCCAATCCATTTGAACGTGTACAACTCTGTCGCTTCGATAATCAGATTCCATTTAGATGAATTTAAATTATCACATACCGGATGTCCTTGTTGTCGGTTTCGGACGACGAGAGAGTGTGTAACTGGTTAGAGCCGCATTGCCTCTGATCGAATCGTATTGCGGTTGCATAGCCAGGAAGAATGGATTACATCCAACTGTAGGATCTTCACCCTGTCGCATCACTGCTAGACCGTCCGATTTGTTCTGTTCAGGTAGACCGTTGGTGGGACCTCGATGAACCAATTCACCCATGGATACTGCTCTGGATANTCTGGATATGGGAGAACCGGGTACATGGAGAAATCCCGGTTTGGAGGAACTCGAATCAGTGGGACTAAGCGATGTCGTCGTCGTCGTCGGATCTGCTGAATCAGTTCGACGCGTAATCATCCGATTGACAAATGTCGACCGAACAGTTGAATCGGACCCAGTCCCGTTCTGAACGGACCCAGTTGTCGAGGTTGCGCTCGTTTCAGTTAGGGCGGTGGGATCGGTGATGTACGAATTGGCAGGGGGATTGCGCATTCTCCGATGCGGGTTGTAAGTTGGTGTAGGGAGAAAAGTTCCACCTGGTGAACGAGAGAGGTGGGTGCGGGTACCGAGATGAGAAAATTCAGGCACTATCCAAAAGAAGCATAACATAACAGACACAAAAATGATGAATAGTGTGTGTGTGTGTGTGTGTAACGCGAGCATAACCGGTATTACTTTCGTTATTCCGTCAAACAAACACACACGAACGCGGCACAAACGGAAGTGGTCCGATTCCCGGAATGCGATGTTTCAACTGAAAGTCAACTCGGTTGCTAATTTTACATAAATCTCAATCCGCTTTTTGTCGGACCATAACTGACAACATTATCCGACTGATTCACGCTCATTTCTGTGCACTTCTATTTCTTTTTCTACTTGCTCCAGTTCGTACTGGTTGTTGATGAGGTTTTGGTTGTCGTGTGTGCTGTTTTGAATAAATGGACAGATTGATCACTGGACCGAAACTCCTAGCACGCGGATGGGACGGGACAGTATGTTTATATGCGCATAGTTGACCTTTTATCGTGGAACACAAATGAAAGGGCCAGGGAAAGATAGAACGCGCGAATAGGTTTACATGATATTGGCCCTCATACATCATCATATCTAAATAGATATTCCAGAATAAATACTATAGATTCTAAACCCGGCTTTGATATATGCGCATTTTATTCGTAAGACATGTGACACCAATGTCCTTGGGTTCAATAGTTTATGCGTGAGATTGTTTGACCGTTTGAAATTTTGAATCTCCAGTAAGCATGTGATGCTACAAGATATCACTTTAGCGAGTAATGAAATAATTTTACTCAACTGGGTGAACAGAATTAATACGACCGGTCAAGGACGTGCTTGTCACACAAGCCCTAATGAAACAAGGTCTTAGGGAACGCTAAACTGTCCGGGGTCATTTGAAACGAGTCCGAATGTTTCTGACACATCAGTTACTAAATCGAATAATGCCGACGATCAAATGTCACGGTTTCACACTTGTGTCCGTCAAAAATAAAATCCGTTTGATAAATCCCGTCATTGAGACGGTTCTTTGTGTTAAAAGAAGCAAAGTTTTCCAATGAGCACCTAATGATTGTTGCGATACCGCGTCTCTGATTCTTCTGGGATACAACTTACGAACCCACCAATTCAGTAGAAAAAATATATATATTCCCTCTGAGGTTTTCAACCAGAAGATTTATAAGTAGTCAGATTTTGAAATTTTCCAACCCAGTCATAACCCCAGAGGTTAGTGCTGAGATGAGCCTGGCACATTGGCCGCAACACGCTTGCAAAGATGAGTTGTACTGTAAAGTGTAAATGGAAAATGCAAAACGGTCTGATAAGCTGTCTGAAAACCGACAAAGGTAGCATGTTTGTATTCTGCCTGTGAATTCCGGGGTTCGATCAACAGTTGAGTCGATGGATTCGTGCGCTGCTGGGGAAACAGTTGTACATTGCGTCC